TATGTTTTAAAGTTTACTAAAAGTACTAGATACATACGTTATGCATGTTTTAAAGTTTAATGAAAGTACTAGATACATATGTTATGCACATTCTAAAGTTTAATGAAAGTACTACATACATACATTATGCATGTTTTTAAAGTTTAATGAAAGTACTAGATACATATGTTATGCACGTTGTAAGGTTTAATGAAAGTACTAGATACATACGTTATGCAGATTTTAAAGTTTAATGAAAGTACTACATACATATGTTATGCACGTTGTAAGGTTTAATGAAAGTACTACATACATACATTACACAGGTTTTGTAGTTTAATGAAAGTACTACATACATACAATATGCAGGTTTTGTAGTTTAATGAAAGTACTACATACAATATGCAGGTTTTAAAGTTGACTGGTAGTAGGATCTTGATGTAATAGAAAGGATATGGGTACAGAAGACAACAAGGGTGGGGAAGGAATTGGATGATAAGTCCTTCGAACAAAACCTAGATAACCCAATGATCGGCAGTGAATTCCCACCACAGGGGAACAAAGTCAGCCAAACAAACCCCACTGGATGGGAACCCACAGGATAGTCACCAGTACTGCTGGTGACTATGAAATCTGTATCAAAAAAACTCGACGATTGGTGGAACCTCTAGTGGTAGGAACAGGTAAAGAATGGGAGGGTGTAGGACATGGAACAGTAACAGAGAGACAGAATGAAACATATGAGCCACCAAAGATGAAAGGGCCAAATGTTACCTCACAGATTCCACACTGATTCCAAAGTCTTAGGAATATCTCCAAAACAAATCAATGGAGAAAGGGAGCCATCCACTAGTCCCAAAGTTGAGTGGATGGTAAACAAATCTGGGACAAGACATTGTCCCTCCTCAGAAGATACCAACAACAAAAAACCATGCATGAAGGGAGAGAGCCGAAAAAAACAATTGTGCCAACATGGAGGTAAGGAGAGGGAAGGTATCCCCCCCCCCCAATTCCTCAAGAGATCAGTGAAGCACCTGAGAAAGGAGGTGTACAGTAGACAAGCACCTTAGGAGAGCCATACGGGTCATATGAAGGTGGGAAAACTGGGTGTGGGATAAATGGATAGGACTGTCAGGGTCACTTACTTCACAAGCTGAAAAGTTGGGAAAACTTCATTTACATTGTTACAAAAACCTGTAGAGAAAGATCAACTTCTGGATTTTATCTATTCTATATATATATATAAGAATGTGACAACAGTTTCTCTCTTCCTCAGTGAATTAACAAAAGTCATTCAACTTTGACTCCCTACATGAAGAGGGGAAAAATGGGAATAACAACACATTATATTCTTAACACTGAATCAACAGTAAGAGACACAACGGCTTTTTTCCTTAGTGAAAATTGAAGCAAAGTGATAACAGCTTCCTTCCCTACTAGGGACATAATAACACTAGTGGCAACAGTTCCCCTCCCTTTGGAATATTAAACAACTTTCTCAAGTGAGGACCAACAACATTAGTCACAACAGTTCCCCTCCCTTTGGAATATTAAACAGCTTTCTCAAGTGAGGACCAACAACATTAGTCACAACAGTTCCCCTCCCTTTAGAATATTAAACAGCTTTCTCAAGTGGGTATCAACAACACTAGTGGAAATAGTTCACCTCCCTTTGGATGATTAAACATTGATTAAATAGCTTTCTCAAGTGGGGATTAAAAACAGTAGTCACAACAGTTCCTCTCCATTTGGAAGATTATGCACTGATTAAATAGTGGGGATCAACAACATTAATGGCAACAATTACCCTCCCTTTGGAAGATTAAACATTGATTAAATAGCTTTCTCAAGTGGGGATTAAAAACAGTAGTCACAACAGTTCCTCTCCATTTGGAAGATTACGCACTGATTAAACAGCTTTCTCAAGAGGGGACCAACAACATTAGTAACGACAATTCCTATCCTTTCTGAAAATTAAACAGCTTTCTCAAGTGGGATTAACAACATTAATGACAACAGTTCCCCACACTTTGGAAGATTACACACTAATTAAACAGCTTTCTCAAGTGGGGATCAACAACATTATTAATGGCAACAGTTCCTCTCCCTTTGAAAGATTAAACAGCTTTCTCAAGAGGGGACCAACAACATTAGTCACGACAATTTCTCTACCTTCTGAAAATTAAACAGCTTTCTCAAGTGGGGATTAAAAACAGTAGGCACAACAGTTCCTCTCCATTTGGAAGATCACGCACTGATTAAACAGTTTTCTCAAGTGGGATCAACAACATTAGTGGCAACAGTTCCTCTTCATCTGGAAGATTAAAAACTGATTAAACAGCTTTCTCAAGTGGGGATCAACAACATTAATGACAACAGTTCCCCACACTTTGGAAGATTAAACATCTTTCTCAAGTGGGGATTAAAAACAGTAGGCACAACAGTTCCCCTCCATTTGGAAGATGACCCATTGATTAAACAGCTTTCTCAAATGGATATCAACAGCATTAGTGGCAACAGTTCTTCTCCATTTGAAAAATTAAAAACTGATTAAACAGCTTTCTCAAGTGAAGATCAACAATGACATAATACCCTTCAGAAGATTAAACAGAGACATGAAAAAAGGAATATAATTTCTACAAAATCTTAATAAAGAAACAGCCACACTTGACTCTTAAGGTTATTAATAAAAAAAATGTTGAATATGAAGCTTAATATCTTATTTTGAACATAAATTTTTTATTATGTTCAGCACTGTATCAAGTTTAAGATACGTTAATATACCTGTTCATATGGTACACTTCTAGCTAGTAACTTGATCATGTCCCTCGCTTTGATGATGATATAAGGGTCCCACGTTTTTCTTGTTGTTGCTACTGTCATGCTTCCCTCTACCACATCCAATTCTGCTTTAACTCCCTTAATTGAAAAATAGTCTAAATTAATTCTGCAGAAAAATTCTCATTCGAGATAACTGATAAACCTGTTTACTTTCAAATACAACAAAAAATAAGGCTATGTCATGAAAATCAGAATTAATAATTTCTCTAGAATATGAATAGTCATAGTCATCATGTTCTCTGTTTTAGGATAACTGACTTCCAGAAACTTCAAGACATTTTGAGTACTTAAATAAGTCATGGTGAAGGTTATTTTTGTTCATTTGATCAATGTAGCCCATATAACTAGATTATTTCCAAAATCATTTTTTTTCAACCAAAATCTCATAATTACATAAATGAATTGGGGAATTTTAAATAAGGTTACAATGATGAAAAATTTAAGGCTTAAGGCTAAGAGGGATTATAAAACTTACTAGTAGAATGGAGAATGCAAAGGTTTGTCAAAGAAAACATTTTTAAGGCTAAGAGGGATTGCAAAATTTACTAGGAAAATGCCAAGGTCTGTCTTAAAAAAAAAGAGGTATTCTTAAGGCTAAGAGAGATTGTGAAATGTTTTTAACTAAGACAAGTTTATGTAAGCTGCCAAAAAAGAAAAAACACAGAAAGGAGGATATAGTTGGCCTTATAGAAGATATAAATGGGAATCATATAAATGTAATGAAGGAAAGAAACATGAATGAATATTTCTAAGTATACAAGAAACTAGAATGACGAGTGCTTTATGATAACAGAGAACACCAAAGGAAATTTTTCTTTAAAGAAAATGTTTAAATTAGTTGTCAATGTATTCATAGCATGTTTACTGCTGTTGATAGAAAATTACTTATACAGGAAAACTAGAGATGGGCAAAAAGTGGAATTTGCTAATTGATTAATTGTTGGACTCATTAATAAATTACATTCAATTAATTGATTATTCTTATGAGACTAATCTTTCTATTTTCAGGTTGTTTGGATATTTTGTATAACTTTTGAACTGCTCTTCATTTAATATGGTAGACATCTCCAGGTACAATAATTTAGGATTAAGTTATTTTTTTTAAGCCTAAACTGTTGTATATCAAAATGTATCATTATATGCTTTGTAGCAAAAAAACTGTAATCATTTAAAAATATGATTAATAGCATTCTGTGGGTTTTTTAATACAAATTTTCACCTCACTACTCTAATACAATACCGTATATTTTGCTAATGAAAATAAACATTCCTTTCTGACATTTTCAAACTTTTTATAAAAAGTATGTAAATTTTATTACCCTAAAAAACTCCCAAGTAAAATGTTAAAAAAAAACATAACTAGTTTTGTCCATTAATTGAATATGTCTTTCATTGTTTAAAGTAAAGTTAACATTTTCCTAAAATGAAAATGTATTTCTGATAGATACCTCACAGAAAGCTTTCTCGACTTGTACTGCCCTCTATCAGTGCAAATTCTTGCTCACCACTAGCCTTGTTACTCCTACTTATTACTGCATACTAACATGCAAATGATCATGCAGCAACAGGAGTGCAACACTGCCCTTATTGTAACTAGTGCCCTCTCTAATCATACATGTTAATCACTTCGAAGTTGGTC